CACGATCTCAGCTCATTGTAACCTCTGCCTCCCAGGTTCAAGCGATTCTCCTGCCTCAGCCTCCCAAGTAGCTGGGATTACAGGCATGCGCCACCACGCCTGGCTAATTTTTGTATTGGCCAGGCTGGTCTTGAACCCCTGACCTTCAGGTGATCCATTCACCTCCGCCTCCCAAATTGCTGGGATTACAGGCGTGAGCCCCTGCGCCTGGCCAGTATTCTGCCACAATTTAAAATAAATACTTTTTTTTTTTCAGGTTTGTGCTCAGACTATATTCTAAACAGTCACATGGCAGCTTACTCTTCTCCAGGCCTTGCTGCCGGCTTTTAGATGTTTATGATCTTTGCCTTCTTGTGGTCTCCTCGGTAGAAGAACGGCATGCAGGGCTTGCTGTAAAGATCTTTGGAGGGAGAAAGGCAGGGCACTGAGCACCGTGCAAGCCCTCCCTTGCTCCTACCTGCCCACCTCACCCAAAGGCTCTACTCACCACCCTGCTTGTCGGCAGCTCCAAGCTCCTGAGGGCCTGGGGTCCCTGGTGCGGACTCATCAGCAGGGTTCTGGGCAGCTGCCTGCAATCCGCCATGCCCCTGGTTACGGTCACCCACAAGCGGAAACACCAGCTCCACCTGGAGGGAAAGGTGGTCTGTTGCCACGCCCGTGCCCACACCCACCTCCACCCCCACCCCCGCAGAGGTGTGGCATGTCTTAGAGGGTCCAGAGAAATCAGAAGGTGGGAAACCAAGAGCATCAGGGGGTCTGGGAGGGACCGCCAAGGCAGGCAGCAAAGGAGGGGCAGGAAGAGTCAGGCTCACCATGGCCTCCTGGCTCTTCAGTTCCTCTGGGATGCTTGGCATGGGCCGAGGTGCCTCCTCCTCCTCCACCTCCTCCCTGTCCAGTCCATCTCCTGTGGGGGGTTGCCAGAGGGCTCCTCAGACAACCCAACAAGGGAGGTAACAGTGGGCCCACCTCTGCCCCCACCCTCACTGTGTAACCCCGGGCCAGCCCCTCCCCAGAGGGAAATCAGCAGCTGTTCTTCATTTTTTTTGAAGCGACAACGTCTCCCTGTGTTGCCCAGGTGCAGTCCCACTACCAATCAACACGGGAGTTCTGACAGGCTCCATTTCCCACCTGGGCCAGTTCACCCATTCAGAGGCCACCCTGGTGGTCCCCACTCCCAGGAGGTCACCATATCTATGCTGAATTTAGTGCGGACACCCGGTCGGCATAATGACCAACTGTTCTAAAGAGTCAGTCCTACGCTGCTAACAGTCCCCCCCTTCTTCCTGGGGCTCTCTCCTCTTCCTCTGAGCGGCCTCCCATACCTTCCCCAGCGAGAGCCATGAGGCTCAACTGGGCCTGCAGCTGCTGGTTCTGCTGGATGGCAGCTTCCAGGTGTTCCTAAAAGGCCAGGAAAGAGAGTGAGAAGGCACGGAGGTTGCCAGGTCGTCGCCCTCGGGGCCCCGCCCTCATCAACTCCCTCAACTGGGTCTCTTGCAACTATTGGTGGGCCATCTCAGCCACCACTTTGCCCTGAGCTTCCTGCTGCTGCAGCTGGGCAGTGCCTCCTTCTTAGAGGCCAGCTGCTGATAGGTGGCCACGTACTGCTGCAGGGGACCCAGGTAATGGTCTCGCTGCTGCTGCAGACTCTGAGCCTCTTGGCTCTTCAGCTCTACCTGCAGGATAGATGTCAGGGTAGCTAGTGGCTGGCTTCCAGATTCTAGGCCCATAAACAGGGTAGCGAGGGCACTGTGGGACTCTGTCGCCTGCCCAGGTCCCTGGCCCCTGGCCTCTTCCTCCAGGCCTAAGTGACTGCCTCCCTTGCCTAGAGGCCATGCCTCCCTCCCCAGCCTCAAATCTCACACCCTACCTCCCACCATTCAAACTGTAGGCCACATACTGGTGGAAAAGCAGAGGGAGCCAACCACCATCTGCTAATTTGTGGTGAGATCGTTCTGTATGATCTCCATGGTTTGCACACGCCTCCACCTGCTCCCCCCAGAGCTCGGCCTTCCGCCCCAGCTCCCCCAGCCTCTCCTCCAGCTCCTGCAGCTTCACCTCCTGCTCCTGCATCTTCTCCTCCTGCTCCTGCAGCCTCACTTCCTGCTCCCACA